ATATTCTTTCTTATCTTTTTTATGTAAATATGTTATATATAATATTATTATTTTATAATTAATTAGATTGCAGGTTTTTTTATTGGTTTTATTTAGTTTTGTTATTTTTTATTATTTTAATTTTTTAGTTATTTAGGTATTTTATTTTTTTTCTATTTATTTTTTAATATTCTATTTCTTTATTTTATTATTTTCTTAGTTTTTCCGCATTTTGCTTTACTTTTCCTACATTGTTTTATTAATGTTTTGGTTTTTTTATTTTATTATACAGGGTTTTCCAATAAGAGGTTTTATTTCGATATTCAAAGAAAAAACTCATTTTTGAGATAAATGATCGGATGTTTATTTCAATGTTAAGCGGAAGTTATCCCATTAATGATGGAAAACAATATCAGCCAAATGGCAGCTACAGCTACCCTTATAGAACCGTATCCATTTTATGAAATCTTCTATCATCAAATTGCAAAGTGACTGCTAATGCCCTCAATAGATTCAGAAATTCCATCATTGAGGTCTGGAATCGACGTTGGTCTGTTGGCACAGACCTTATATTTCACGTGGCCTCAAAGAAAAAAGTCGCAATGTGTTAAATCACAAAATCTTGATGGCCAAATCCGATCATCTTTTCGCTTAAAAAAATTGTTGGTTTTGTTGCTCCTGTGGCACGTAGCACTGACTGTTGCTTCAGCTTAATTTTCGAAAAAGAAATATGGCTTTGCCGGACCATAAACCGCACCAATTACACAATTACAACAATTACACGTTGAGAATGGAGTGGCTTTTCAACAATAAATCTTCAGTTTTCCGAACCCCAGGTGTGCCATTTTTGCTTAATTGCTTATTGACGTTGCCATCGAAATGGAAATGAGTCCAATCAGTCCAGATTATTTTTCGATGAATTTCCGGATCATTTTCATGCATTTCAGGGACCAAATCAGCAAAGACACGAAGTTGCTGATGATCAGCCAGATAGAGTTTTTGAACTAACCATACTTTTAAGAACGAAATCTCTTTGCAAAATACGGTGTTATGACGTTTGTGGAATACCCAATTCCAAAGCACGACGAGGGAGCGACAAACCTGGTTTTTCTTCAACAATTCGGCCTACAACAGCAATATTCGCAGTTGCCTTTGAGCTATTTGCACGAGTTTTATTCTCCACATCAATGACTTGTCGCAGCAGCTCAATTTTTGTTCACCAATTTCTGTATTACGATCCGACAAGATGCTTCACGATGACCGGAAAATATATTAGTTTTACGATCCTTCCTTTTTTTTTGTGGAAAACCATTTAGTTTATTGAAATTAATTCAATTTAGTTTTATTTAATTTGGCTTTTATTTTATTTTATTTTATTCTATGTTTTTTTTTTATTTCTTATTAATTTATTTGATTTTATTTTATTTTTTATTAATTAATTTTTTTTTCTATTTATTTATTTAAGTTTTTATTCATTAATTTAACTTTATGTTTTATTTTATTTTATTATATTTTTAATTTGATTTATATTTTTTTATTTTATATTATATTAATTGATTTTATTTTGTTTTTATTAATATATTTTTTATTTAATTTTACCTTATTTTATTTTTATATATTTTTTTTTTATTTATTTATTTAAATTTTTGTTCATTAATTTAACTTTATGTTGTATTTTGTATTATTTTATTTGCTTTTTTTTATTTTATTTTTTATGTTTTTTATTTTATTTTTTATTAAATATTTTATATTTTTTTATTTAATAATATTTTTAATTTTATTATGCTTAATTTATTTTATATTCTTTTATATTAATTGATTTTATTTTAATTTTGTTAATTTATTTTTTATTCTATTTTTTTATTTTGTTTTATTATGAGCTTAGTCCTGAGGACTTCGAATAACTTTGAATCCCAACTGTTTTAAAATTCAACGTAATGTACATAAATACATACATACATACGTATGTGCATATGCATGTACGTTCATTGTTCATCGACTTGGTTCATTCTCAAAATTATTTAATTTCTATGAGCAATGAGGAAGCTTTGTGTCCGTCTTCATGTGATTTCTTCACCTGCATTTCTTTCAAGTCTACATATTATATGTATGTATGTACATATATATTTATATACAAGCAATTTTTTTTTATTAATTCGTTATTATTTAGAATTAAATGTAAATTTCCAATAAAATATAGTACTTACGTATTTATATCGTACGCTAAACTGAGAATTGTGAGAAATCTGCGGTTAACTGATATTTGTTGCTACCCGAAGTCAATTGTTATTGGAAATCTTGCAGCCTTGTCAGGACCAGTTGCGGTCGATTTAATAAAATACATTTTTTATGAACTCGAGAATATACATGCATACATATATATGAATGGCATCTACAAAGGCTCAAACTGAAATAATTTTAATTTTTCAATTTTCCTTTAAAAAAAAAACAGCCTCCATCCAGCCGGCAGTGCTTTTTCCATCTCAAATGAGGGCAAATACTTTAAATTATCGAAAACAACATTTGTTTGGTTGGTTGGTTGAATGAGGCAGCTTGAGGTGACCTACCGTGAGGGAGCATCTTGCAAGATGTGACGTCTCAATCGATTGAGGGCCGGACACTCGCAAAGGTAGTGCCCCAGCGGTTTGTGAACCTCGTGCATGCTTTGCACAAAGCCTTGATTCTACTTTATATAGCTTATGGAGATGATATGTAAGAGGTAGATGCTCCGTCAATACATCCATAATGCAAGAAACTGTATGGTCTATCTACTGTCTACACTGACCTACGTTGGAAGAATTCCAAGACCTTAAGTGTTTTTCTATGGTTCACTATTTTAAACTACATTTCAAGTCTGTTAATTATCTTTGAAGATTCTAACGCATTTAGATTTTATGTTGACGTAATAGGATTTATTTATCGCAAACTTGAGTACAAAATAAAAATATCCCAAAAAGAAACTACTAATCTTTAAAGAGTTATAGAACACACCAGGGTGGCCAGAGAAGATATCTTTTTCACAACGGGCAGAAAATTCAGCTTCCTACCGAGGCTGGGCTGAGGCTAATTGACTGCTCCAAGGTCCGAAATATGGTTCCGTCACAAAAAAATCAACAAGCAAAGTGGTTTTCACCGGTTTGAAGATGGCTATGATAGATCGATTGTAGAGCATCAGTGTCAGCCGCGGTAACCAAGTGATTAGTATTGCGTACCGACATTCGGAAGGCTCGGGCTCAAATATTGGTACCAACGAACAACCAAAAGATATGGAAAATTAATTTAATTAAAATGTAACTGCGGTCGCCCCTCGGCAGGGAATGTCGTGTATGTCAGCCATCAGAAAAAACCACCAGCCGTTCGGACGCGCTTAGTATGAGCTGTAGGTCCCTACAGTTTGTTGGGAAAATAATCAAGACGCAAAACCACACATTGGAGGAGGAGCTCGGTCGAAAATCGAGTCAGCTGTTACAAAGCGCCAAGAAGTATATACTTATATTGAATGTAGGAGCCAAGGAGGTGGTCTACCAACTAATATCCAGACAGCGCTGAAGTTCTAATGGTGATTACTCGTTTAAAAAATATAACAAAGCGACGGGAGCCGACGACTTAGCGTCATGGTTTCGAATAACGGACAATGTACATGCATCAGCTTCTTTGGAAAATATAGTCGGACAAAAACATGCCTGACGTTTGAATTCGAAGAGTACTCTGCCCAATTTAGAGAAACAGAAATTTCACAATCTGCTCCCAGATATGCTGAGATAAATCACACCAATATTGCATATCTATGATATACTCTAATGTTTAAAAATTGTATGTGTAATGGAGAAGTGCGTACATACATACATACATATGTATTGTATATGTTGAGCAAACCCTTGTCTATCTTGCTTGTTTAACTTGTGCCTGCTGGCTTACTCATTTTCATTACGTTTTAAACGTAAAAACAAAAACAAAAGAGTCATGAAATCAATTTAAATTTAAAATATTGTGTATAATAAAAATTTAAATTTATTAAGTTATTTGCATAGCACATAGAATAAAAATAAATAAATATTAGATTTTTTCTCGATTTTTTTCTTAAAAAAATTTTATAAATTTTATTATTATTTAATCTTTTGTAAGTCTTTTGCTTATATGAATATTTTTATTTATTTATTTTTTTCTTATGAAAATCCTTTGATTGGAGAAGTCCAATTGGTTATTATATTTCATATTCACATACCTCAAGTTGGGCGCCAAATATTGATGTGTGTGTGCTATTTTGTCTTTTCTTAAGCTTTGTATTTGTTCAGGTGATATTTAATTTTCTCTTGTTAGAAGTAAATATATGATCTGATATATTTAAATTTTTAAAAGTTATATATTTAAAAATAAAACACCTGTCAACCAACTCCAAGTTTGGCAACTTAAATTTGTTTCTTCTTCTTGCAAATGAAACAGCTGTTTTATCAGTCAATCACGTTCCGCTCTTAGAGCCATCTGTACATCAAAGTTTCCGCTAACCTGGAGAATTGAGCAAATACATTTGTTCCTAATATGAAGTGTATGTGAGCTTGCATCTACTATGTGCGGTATTTTAAAGCGTTTGAAAGAAAAACTATCTCTGCTATTATCATATATCTATGCTGAAAGAAATTGTGCTAAATTTTATCAATTTTTAGTTAGTTTTTATACATATCTCTTGCTATTCTCAGCCTTTTAGGGATTGATGGCGTTAGTTTTTAAGTGCTACAGCGACATCTTTGTTCGTATTTAATCACATATATTTGTTGGCATTGCTTTTTATATAGCTTTTACAAGAAAAATTTATTTTGCATAAAAAATAAAAGAAATATGCTAGTTTAATTTAAATGGTATAACAAAAACAATTTCAAATTATAAACAAAAAAATATTAAAAACTACACAGTTCATTTCATTTCATAACAAACATATGGCAGCATTTGTGTTCTACTGATGGCTCTGCCGGTCTCAACGCCGCTGCCGGAGATGGTACTGATTTGTACACGACGATCACCCACAAAGCTTCAAGTCGGACTTTAGTGAACGGATGTACTGTCAGTTCACTGAAAAAAAGAATTAAGAAAATTTAACCTTCTCTGGAATTGGAAAATAATATTTTTATAAAAACCGGTGGAAGCAACAAACAACATTAATTAATATGAGCTGTAATCATCTGTTGATTAGCCATAAGCCGGCACTGCTTTTATTATTTTGTATATTGGGTAAGTACTCCAGGCATTGGACAGATGTATGAGAGAGTTATTAATAAAATAAATTATATGTATGTAGTATATTAATTATTCTAGACAGCAAACAAGAGACACAATAACTGTGAATATATAAATCTGTATGAGTATTCACCGGCCTAAATATGCCGATTTGAACAACAAAAGTTAAATGTGCAAAGTGTGAAGTTATGGTTTTTTCTCTTTTTTTTTTTGTAAAAGCGTATTTAAAAAGTCTTGGAAAATAGTAATGTTGTTAAGTGCTTCTGACTACACGTTTGAAAGTTTCATTAGCTATTTTCTTTTGTATTTTGATTAAAAGTGCTGAACATTGCATTAGTTAAAGAGACACTTAATTCCAATCAGAAATATGTTCATATATATGTTCAAACATGTATGTATATATGAATTTACATAAAGTGAAACTGATAACCTTAGCCCATAATCGCTTTTGTGGGGTCAAAATCTGTTGGAGAAAATCTTTTGTATAGACTTATTCGCTGTATTGACTTGGACACGTACCCATGACATTATCATATAAAAGGAGATAAGGAAATTATTAATTTCCTACTACAAGTAGCAGAATTCTATGATAATGTCGTGTAGTAGTAGACAAGTCCGAACATATTCAACGAAAGAAAATAGCAATTAGTAAACTTAATTACTATTTTCATTGATAATGTAAATTTGCAAATTAACATGATTTTTTACTTGTTTCAGTTCCGTCGGTACTCTCAAACACTGCCTTTCTCATACCGCCGAAGAGTCAACATTTCTATGAGCTGACTAATGTTGTGTCTATGCACGATTTGCAACGTTCCAATGCCGAAGAAGCAAGCTATATTTTTCGTGCGCAATTGAAAGTGAATTCTGTGTGGAATACAGAAAAGGAACAATTGCTGGAAGTTTTTATTACATATTCCAAAGTCAGTGCGCCGTCTAAAGCGCGAAAATCAAGTATTACTGCTGAAATAACAAAAATACCAGATCGCCCATTCTATGTCAGTCTCATCAATGGCAAACCCAACAAAGTGATAGCTCATACGTCGCGTGATCAATCGCTATTGAATTTGGAACGTGGTTTCGCTTCACTCTTACAATTAGAATATGAAAATGGACCTGTTACAGAGGTGGATGTGTCAGGCAAGTGTAATGCATTTTACGCTGTCAAGTCTTCCACACACATCGAGAAAATCAAAACAGATTGTTCACATTGGGATCTAAAAGTTAACTACAGAGCAGAGAAAGCATTGAGTAAGTAATAAGCAATTATTTATTTATTTATTTTATTATTGGAAATTCTGATATTAAATTTTTTATTTCAGGCATATCTCAAGTATCACAGGAAATTGTGGAATACGAATTGAGCGCAGATGGTGGACTTATGCAAGCAATTTCATCGGAAAAACATCGCATAGCTTTGGCTTCAAAACCAGATGTGGGCAGTGAAGTGAGCGCTAAATTTAGCCTAACACATCTTGTAGAGAGCTCAGATTTGGTGAAACAATTAGAATTTGCTACACTTGATGAAGCGATTAACAGTTTGCTGGAGTGGTATCGTGTTTTCGATATCGAAGCAGATGTGGATGGTGCCATAAGCGAAATTAAAGATACCACTGTGAGTATGATCGCAAAAAAAACAAAAAAAAAACGCAAATTATAAACAACACAGACTTTTTTTTTTTTTTTGAATTTTTAGCTTAAGGCTGAAATCAAGAGGTTAAGCCCTGAACTTTACAGTGAAAATGTGGGTAAACAAGCACTGGCGCTTGTCATTGCTGAACTATTGCCCCTCGCACGCATCACCAAACAAACTGAGTTCAACGAAATCTTTGAAGCCAACCCTGATTCCGTTAAACCCTTGATTGATTTACTCGCCGCCGTACAAACTATCGAAGCGCACAATGCCATAATAGAATTATACAAGTTTGATGTTGAGGATGATGTCGAGTTTTTAGAGCAATATTTACAGTCGCTCGCAGTTGGCACACACCCGGATCGTGCTATTATTGAAGATCTATTCATGCGCTTGCAGCCAAGTGCTGACGTCAATGCAAATATCACAAATGATAAACTTCGCGATACGGTTATACAAACAGTGGCAGCACTCACACGTCAGTCCGGCTTTGATGCCAACGATTCATTATTAAAAAGTATACGCCAATTTATGTTGGATAATCTTAGTGAGAAGTGCAAAGAGATTGATTGTAAAGTTACCTACATACGTGCACTGCAAAATCTACAAGATGTTAACACATTACCAACACTTTTCAGCAGCGCCTTAAATGGTGATGTATCGGAATCTGTTGCCGCTTTACAAGCATTAAAAAGTTTCCCCATTGCAAGTTTCAACGAGAAACATCGTAGTAGTTTTGCCGAAATTTTCTACCAAACAAAACGTAAATTCGATACCACAGCACGTGTCTTCGCCTTGGATATACTGCTGGCGCTTAAGCCCACCAAGGACCAGTTAAATGAATTGCTCAATTATCTGAATTCTAATGATCGTCATTTCGAAGTTAAAACTTTTGTCATACAAAAACTCCGAATGATTGCCGATCATTGCTCACGTTTTAGAGCATTGCTAAAATCGTGCTTAGCAGAACTACCGGAAGTAAATAATTATCATGTGATTGGACAAAAAGGACTGACAACCGTATTGACGCGCGAGCTTTCCAAATCGCCAGCATTCAACGAATCGCTGTTAAGTGTTCAGGAGATCTATCAGGGTGTGTTGAAACGTGGCACCGTTGAGCTGCTCTTGGGTGCGGGCCAAGACGAATTTAGCAGTTTCAAGGTAGATAAGTTGCTTAGAATTATATTTAAGGCAAAATTTTAAAAAATTTAGCACTTTTAGATCGGTCTCTACACCAACGGTCTAGCATCATTTGTGGGGGACTCAGATGAGGAGTCAGAGGATGAAGCTGAAGATGATGCGCCCGTCAATGCTGGCATGGAAATTTCTGTGCAAGGTGTACTTTTACGTCCACTCGTCTTCTTCACCGGCCAAGGTGAACTGATGGCTCATGTTTGGAGTGGCACTGCCTCTGAACCTACACCAGCTTACCAAGCGACCGTTTTGGCGGAAGATCATGAGCACTATGTTATATTATCATCAGGCGTCACAGTTTATTTCCGTGTAATAGGCACACGTTCGATTGACTTAAATGGCAAAGTCGAGTTTAGTTTGTGGAATCGGAATGCAAACACGGAAATCAATCAAAAGTCAGTTGAAAGCTAGTCTTCTGCTAAACAGCATTGATAATTACAATATTTTTGCTTTTAATTACAGCATTGGTGCGGCAATTATTGGTAACATGGTGGCCGGTTTCACTTATGCCAAGGTAGAGAATAAATTTACGGTGACCAACGAGCCGCGTTTAAAACTGCAGGCCGATCTTGATTTCTATTCAGGCGTGAAGTTATGCATGAAATTGCAGAGACCAGATATGCTGCTGAAGTGAGCTTCAAATATTTTTTTCTTTTATTTGTATAAAGATTTAATTTGATATTCTTATTTCTCTTTAGCTTGTCAAATACTAAATCGGTTTATCTGACACCAAACGCTTACTATAAACATATCCGAACGAAATCCACACAGAAACTTGCAGGTCGCACTTTGGCTTTAAACCAGAAGAATAACGAGATGTGCAATATTATCTCTGGCGAATAAAAGATATTACAATAGCTTCGACATACTGGAACCAATGCATTTTTAATACTCAAAGCTCTCTGTCCTTATTAATAATGGTTACATTGTGAATCTCATGTGCAAAATATATGTGTATATCATTGAACCGCCTTGATATTCTTCGCACAAAGTGTTTAGATGAAGTAAATTGTTTGCATTTGTAATGGAACATTATGTTAACAGCTTTTATAGACAATAAATAAAGATATATAATATTTTTTTACACAATGGAATAACATATTTCCTTTGGTAGTCATACATAGGTCGCTTCTACTAACTAAATACTTTATGGTTAAGCTCTACTAATTATTTATTCTCTTAAGCTCATCCTAAGAAATCCCATTATATGAAAAGATTTGAGAATAGGGGATTAAAACCACGACTTATGGCTTACAATGCGCTCCACTACTCACCGCACAATCATTGTTGTTGTTGCTGTAACCGTAAAATTATTCAAAGTACTTTTTTTCCGGTATAAAGATCCGACTGTCGCGGGAACTATTGGATTTCAGTCGCCTTTTACGACACCCCTAACCCGCAGAGGGGCTGCATAATCATTGCCAAAGACCTATGTTCGAAAGTGAACCGTTATCTCGACGACCTTTCTAACTTTTTCACTACAAGACAATTACGACTACAACCAGCAAAATCCTCTACTACCCTCTTAACCAGCTGGACGAAGAAGTACAGGCCTGAATTCGATATAAAAATCGATGGCGTGGAAATTTCGGCTATACTCGAAAATATCTCGAAGTTATTAGGCGTTACATTCGACAGCCCACACCCGTCACTCCACATTCGACTGCAAATGCCTCAAAACTCCAAGGACGCGACAAAATCCTAAAAGAGTTAGCCAGCAGCACTTAGAAAAAAGACAAAGAAATTTCACTGGCAACCTACAAAGCGATTGGCCGGCCGGTCGTTAGCTATGCTGCACCGATCTGGGCATTGGGTACGAACGAAACGCAGTTGAGGAAGCTACTGACCTGCCACAACACCGCCTTTAGAACAGTGACAGGAAACCTGCTGATGCCCCGACAGGGTCACTTGTACAGGGAAGCGTCCATTATCAAAGAGTCAGCCAACTCCTTGAAAAACTCTCTTCCTGTGAATGGCGTCCTCGGAGTCAAATCACCACACATAGCAGATGAAGAGCTCGAGCTGTCTCTGGAGTTGCTCGTAATACTGGCACAACAGGATATTGCAGGTTAAGCTCCTACCTCTCGACACTTACCACCTTTTTCTATGCCGACACATCTAACCGCCCTCTTCCTTTGGTGCGAGCCCATCGAAATAGCTGGTTCCCGGGACCTCCCATTAGATGATCTCGGTAACTTAGATTAACTAGCCCATCAGCAAGTGGGATTGGAAAAGCCGCTAAAACAAGCAGAACAGCATTATAAAGGAAGTACTCGACCTCTAGGACTGCGCTCAGTGCCACCTGCAACAATAGCTGGACAGGATGGCTTACCGACATGCATTAAACGCCGTTCTCCGAGATTCCGTTAACACCATCCTGAACTCCGTTGCAAGGAATGGAGTTCTCGGAATCAAAATACCACCTATTGCAGACCATTATAATTCGAATTCGCGTAATACTGACTCAACTTAGTTTTGGATATTGTAGTATAATAAACTTCTACCTGTACAGGCTTAACTCGACATACTCAATGTATTTCTTACATGTAATGAGCCCCTGTACGACACTAACTACATACATCTTGGCATCCCCCTCAAAACCAGCTCATCTAATTCCCCTCTCCTTATGGCCCACAACCGTGAATACATCTCGTCTTCAGGACCCCCGCAAAATGACCAAAACCACCACCATTATTACCCGAATCGCTCTCTTCGTTTACTATCGGCGGTGATTTGGCCTTTACGACAGCCAGTTCTACGCATCGGAGCTTATGCGGCTTTTTTCCGGCGAAGGGCTTTCACCCTTTCTGCGACCTAATTCCTTTTAAGTCACCAGATAACATTTGTCTTTGCCTTTGCCAATTTGCTTACTCTTCAACTCTTCATTTCGTTTGAAAAAATTAATCAAAAACCATCCGGATACTGGTATAACGGTTTTTTCAACATTTACGGTTAACGGAAATTTAAAAAGTGAATTGAATTCATTCAAACTATAATACAATAAATTTTTATTCTTACTTGCTTAGAAAATCCCATTAAATTTGTAATTCCTCCTCAGCCAAATTGAGGAATTTTACATTTTCCGTCTAATTTATACACCATACATGCAACTCTGCCCCTTGGAATGAACGAAAATATTACAAAAAGCGAAACAGCGTTAACACCGATTGTAGGTTGTTAAATTATCGTCTATCGACGTTCGCTCTCAACAAATTTTCATCAGTCTTTCATTTCCCCTGTTTGAGTGCGCAACAAAAATTCGAAAGTAAATTTATACCGCATACGTGAAGTCCAATCGATGTAGGCATTAAAAGATATTTCACCCACATTCATAGTGTAACGAAAAATTCTAACATAAAAATTCTGCCAAAAAAGCAGTTATAATCAGAAATTAAAAAAGAAACAAATTCTTGCAAATATTAGTGAACGAAATTCCTAAACGTGTTGCTGCATGATTTGCAGCGAGTATTGCGTGTAATCACGGCCAACACATTTAATATAAATAGTATTAACACATAAAAGTGAAGGAAATCGATTTTTCGTGCGAGATAAACTAAAATTTGGGTCACCTAAATTTTCAATACGGTTCCGTACGGTCAAATTACATTGGTATTTATAAGGTGGTCAGAAGGAGCCAGAAGAATAAGTAAGCAATACCCGTTATTAGTGCAATTCTCATATGTTTTTATTATACACGAACAACTAATGAAGTGAATTGGATTAACCTCCAGTGGCGCAAATGCATTTAAAGTTATTTATTTGCTGTTATTGTATATATATGCTGCACCCAGTAGAAGAATGTAAATATAGAAGAAGTGCGTTAAACAAGGAGGTGGAAAACACCAAATGTTCTTGTATAAATCGTCTGCCAATCGCCTGTGGGTGAGGTCAGGTGAGGCAGACTTGTGAAATGCTATAATGTGATTCTCTTTTTTTGAAATGTGACAGCTGTGACAATAGCAAATTTGTGTGAAATCTCCAAACAAATTGTAGTTAAGAAAATTTGGCATGAACAGCATAAATAGCTGCAAAGGGTGACTTTTAAAGGGCTAAACGATGTGTTTGGCTTAAAATGTAAATAGCGAAGGTTTCTTCAGTAGGTTTGTGTGTTCAATACACTGATTTGTCCGTTTAGCTTGAATTTCTGTAAACTCCAATGTATTGAAAATTATTCCACATGGGTCGAAATGAGGTTTTAGCTTGGCGGGGGTTATATTTGCGGTGCACGCATATTGATAAGAGAGGTGCGACTTCGCACCTTTTCTTTTTGTAGGCAATTATTTTTATTATTGAATCCTTTCCTAAAATTATTAAAATTTCTAGAAATGCCTTCAGATTTCATAAATTTTGGTATTTATCTCAAAAAAAAAAAAAAATGTAAAATAATTCGGTTACGCAACCAATTTTATTTTTCTATAAATACGTACCAACAATCCTTATATAAATAGGTAATATAAACTTTTTTGCAAGAACTTCAAACTATGACCTTAACGCAGAACTATCACAAGCTTATTGTTTAAGCAAAATATTTTTTTTACCTTTCTTTGTCTGTCCGAAGTGTAAAAAACTACATTCAGGATTAAAAACTTATGGAACATAATTTCGCCAACATTTTTCTACTTGCTGCTATAAAAATTACAATTATTTGCCACCTGTCTTGTTACCCACAGGCAAACATTTAACAAGCAGAATCCAGAGAATTTGCTAATCATAACGACAACAAAAATAACTATTAAATAAATCGAATAACGAATCCGACAAAAAAAGTGCATTGAAAAAAGTACGTAAAAAAGAGAAATAAACAAAATTGCATATAAATAAAAATAAAGAATTAATATATTCGTGAACGCAAAAAAATTATTAACCTGGTGTCTAAGAAAAATTGAAAATTTCATGTATTTAGGTAACCGTTAAATATTCAAATAGCTAAAAAAACAAAAAAAAAAAAAAATCAATTTGATACCTTATCCACCATATCTGTGTATATATTGTACAACAGCAAAAAATCACTTAGTTCGACCGATCGTTCAGCATAAACTTTAAAAGGTAAGATGGAATTCAATACCTCAACCATTTAACACTATATTACAACGTTGTGTATCAGTACTCTTACAGCGGTAGACAGATTACACAGAAACAGCTAAGCTCCGGCTACCTATTTCAGGTATCAGGTGAAGGTGGGCAGCTACTCCCCCTTCTATTGAAAATTAAATTAACTCAGAAGACCTTTTCATTCTTCCACAAAAAAAGAAATATTCAAACTTTGCCAGATTTTTGCCCAATATAAGGGGAGGGTTCTCTTAACTCTTCTGGAAGGTGGAATTTTTTCTTATTTCGATGTCGAAATGTACATACTTGCGAGGACCCACTCTACCTTGAGGGCCCATAAATAAAATGAAACACTATTTCATTTAAATAGTTGTTGTTCTGATAACTGCAAAAATAATCCCCAAATTGATTCTTGGTAAATTCTTGAACCGATTACTCGCACGGATAATTTTAATTTTTTGCTCGGTGCTCGTCATAAATTAAACTGTTTATTTTTATTTTTTTTTGTTTAAATTTAAAGTGGTTCAATGAATATGTTTATTTATTTTTAAGAAATTGTATTAATTTTCAATAAAAATGACTTAAGTCGATGTCGGCTTACTGTTAATTATTAAAATTTATTTAATTTTAAATTAAAAATATTTCTGTTATGTTCATAATGATTGTCATTCTTAGTCGATCTAGAATTAATTACAGATCCTCAATTGCTCTCCAATATTTTGATGGCATACATAATTTGTAGTATGAAAGAAAATTTAACATAAAGATAAAAAATAGTTATCGGTTAACTAGGATATTTACCGTATTTTGTAAGAGGATCATCAAAATTACATAACAAAAGTCAAATTCAGGGTACATGTTATGCGATGGGCGGATTATCTCTTACGAAATATGTTATTGTTGTAGGTAATAAACATTTCTGAAACAAACTACAAGACTCGGGCCAATGTACTGGCTCTGACAATTCTCGCTAGTGCAAGCAGAGCCAATAGATCGGCCTCCGGCACTAAAAGGGGTAAAGAATGCTTTCAGCAATACGAGATAAACTTATTTTTTATGTAAAAATATCGGCTGAACTTTTCGCAGCATGTTTTTAAAATAATTGTTTTGCGAAGATCCTACTGTAAGACGTAAGAACAAAAAACGATTTCGAGAAATTTGCAATCAAAATTTTCGTTTTAGAGCGTGCTTTGCTTACTAAAACAGACAATAAATAGCTCTCATGTTGATCAAATTTTACCAAAATTTTTTTTTTTTTAAAAAGGTCATCCAAAAATCCAATTTTCACTTTTTTTCTTCCTCCAAGTTCTGGCATTAATTTTTTGTTTTGTTTTTTTTTTTTTGTTTGAACCTTGGAAGATCTTCTCTTGGCAACGCAGACGCTCTTTTCTCTGAAGGGTTCAGTGGAAATGACGTCACAATGGGGGCTTTAAGCATATTTTTCTTCGATAATTTCAGAACTTCATTTTCAATTATACCGCTTTAATAAAGTAAAAAATTTGAAAAAAATATTTTAATGTTTATAAAATTTTTTTATCTAATTTTTTTTTTACTTATTTTTTTTATTTATTTTTTTATATACTTTTTTATTTTTTTTATATAATCTTTTTAGATAATTTTTTTATATATTGTTTTTTTTTTATATATTGTTCTTTTTTATATTTTTTTATATACTTTTTTATTTATAATTTTTTTTTATATAATTTTTTTTTTTTATATAATTTTTTTTATAATTTTTTTTTTAGAAATTTTTTTTTATTTTTTTTTTTTATATATTGTTCTTTCTTAATATTTTTTTATTTTATATATTATTATTTTTTATATTTTTTTATATAATATTTTATTTATAATTTTTTTATATAATTTTTTTTTTAATTTAACATATACTTTTTATCCCCGAATCAGCCCATCACACTACCTGTGTTCCTTTAAACTTTAGAAAATTATGCAATCTGCATAGGTCGCAAATTTTTATGTCCTTTTGTTTAAGTTTCTGAAAAAAAAACATATAAATCTGGTCATAAGTGGTTGTATCAGTACTTTCTTCCCTATCTATTGTACATACATAGATACCACACCATGCATTGTCAAACGTAAATGGCTTATATTTATTGTATTTTATCTTATCAATGGATTAGTTGGTCTTAGGTTTCAATTACTGCAAACATTTTTCGATTACGTAAGGTGCACAAATATAAGTACATACTGGTACATATATGTACAGACATATATATGTTATATATTCACGTTTATATTTATTATTTTTTCGTCTTTTTTTTTAGCTTTTTTTGTCTTTACTACTCTTAACATTCAGCATTTTCTTACTGGTATTATGTTAAATGCTTTGACAATCATTCATGTGCAGCTACATACATATGCAGTTGTATGTTTGTATGTACATAAATGCATATGACACATTATTTTTATGTTTTTCCTGACAAAATTTTAACACCAGAAAGTATTTTATGACAGACTTGCATGTAAATCGTACATAACATACATACATACGTATTTACATATGTACGTGTAAATATAGATAAGCTTCTATGAATACCTGTTCGTAAATATGTTACATATTTATACCCAATTTTGTACTAATTCTTTGCTGGATTGCATAATCTCTTATCACTAGTTTTGGTTTATTTAGCGGTGTTTTGGATGTTAAAATATTGAACATACATACATATGCAGTCGGTACTTGTTCATCCAAACTCGCTATAATTCGAACCTCTTATAGTTCAAAGACATCATAAGTTTCGTAAAAAATACCTCTAAAAGTAAACGAAGATCTCGGTGGCCAATTACACGGCCCGAAAACCCTTAACAGATCGATGGCTTCATTGCTGGTGTAGCACGTAGCGCCGTCTTGTTGATAGTAAACGTTGTCCACATGAATACTATCCAATTCAGGGCATAAAAGTCATTAAGCAGCTCCCGATAGTGCAATCCATTCAAATTTGCTTCGGCCTCCTTTCCAAAAAGAGTAAGTTTCAATGACCTCGTCGGACCATAAACCTCGCCAAACAGTTACACTTTGAGTATGGAGTGGCTTTCCAACAATAAGTCTTGGATTTTCCAAGCCCCAGATATGACAACCAACCGGCCCCAGGTAACCAACGAGGTGGAAGTGGACTTCATCATCAGTCAAGATAATTTTCGATGAAATTCCGGATCATTTTCATGCATATCAAGGAACCAATCAGCAAGGACACGACGTTTTTGATGATCGGCCGGCCTACTGATTACAGTTAATGGACACATGAAAGAAAAAAACGAATAGTTTTACTCTTTCAGTCAGTTCCGCTATATACAACAGTGGTGTTGTTGTTATTATTATTGTTGTTGTTGTTGTAGCCGCAAAAATATTCCCCAAATAAATTTTTTAAGAATCTTGTGGAAGTGACAGTCCTTGGTCGGATAAAAAATCCGAGTCGTTCCGGTATAAAGAAACGACCGTTGCGGGAACTATTGGATTTTAGCCGCCTCTGACGACAGGTAAATTCTTGAACCCCTAACCTGCAGGGCTCGGTGCTTAGTAGTGCTTGTTGGAATGAAGGTATAATAATAAGCTCAACGAATATCCTCCACCAGGCCGACCGAGACGAGAGGCGACATCCGCATAGCGTACGGAATATGCCGAGTCATGATTGGGCGAGGTTTGTTAAGCGTCGAGAAGTCAAAATAGTTTTTGAACAGACTCTAACTTATCGGAATGAACTTGATAATTGGGACTCCATATCTGCCTGGAATTAAGGACAATTTAAGAATTTTTTTGATGACCGACGGCTTAACCCACGAGAACCATACGATTCGCTTACTTGTCCACTTGGAAGATCCCCGTGCGACCAGCTCCAGCATTAGGTTGAAGAAGTCACATCAAGTCACAGCTGAGCTCGGAGCTTGTATAAAAATTATTCTATTTTCGGTTCAACGTCGACGACGTCATGGACTTCATTTTTCAAAGCGGCATTAAGAGAGATTTTTTAAAATTTTATGAATTCTGTTCGACAGAATGACAGGCAGTATTTGAAAGTATACATACATATGCACATATGTTACATATCTATGTAACTGCGATGAGTTTGCAAAAATAAAATTAAATTACCTTGCGAGTGTAGCAATTTTTCATCGATGCGACGAATTACCGTAATTTAGTGTAAACGAACTCGCTCACGGCGAAACTTTTACGAATGACAATCGAACAAAAGGTTAATGAACGTCCAGACAGAAATAAGTATTATTATAGTATATATATACATATGTAGCTACTCGTATGTAAATACATATGCATATAAGTGCATGTGTGTGTGAAAATGCTAAAGCTTTGTTCCGTAGCTTTCTGTAAATAGTACGAGTACAAGTGCAAAGTTATCCGCTTTGGCGTCACGTCTATTTTGTGACGCCACATATAGTACATTGTATGGTCGAAATCTACTATTTGTATGTATGAATATTGTCATGACTGCCATTTGTTGTCGCCTTGTAAGGCTAAAGACGGCGACAATAATGTCAGCAATCCATAACTAATCGAACATGCTTTGTGTGCCATACACCTATGATTGGATCTACATATATACGTAGGTATATATTTATGTATACATTCGTATGAGCATTCGGTAGAAAGCACGTGACGATACTCTATTGAGGTGGTATACTTATATATATATGTATTTGTATGCACATATGAGTTTTCGGTATTACTTTCGTTAAAATGCAACTAAAAAATTGCAACAAAGCACTCCAGGGCATTTATAAACTGACAAAGTATTGGTTATTTAATCATTATGTCTTATTAAATATGATTAGTGAGCGATTTTCCAACAAGCGTTATACACTTAAATAAAACTTCGAAAATATGGCACGATTTTTCCGTGAATAGAGATTTCTCGAATCGATTAGAGATTTAAAATTATGAAAAGAGATTATAAAAAAATCATATAAAAATAATTATAAAAAAGAAAAAATATAAAATAAATATAAAAAAAAAAATTAAAAAC